AACTGACCCTCCAGGCAGTGGTCATGGATAAATTCCCGCCTCGGAATACAGGTATGGGCTTTGGATAGAGCGTTAGTTGGCAGCTGGTGATTATAACCATGCCTGCTGCCCTGGCCCCCCCCCCCAGCTGTGCCACGCTCCGGGAGGGACGGCACGCTCCAGGGAGCGCGGGGGCCTGCTCGGACTCCGCCTGCAGCTTGGCCAGGGCGATGTCCCAGGAGCAGCGCTGCTGGGGCCCCTCCTTGGGTCCGGAGGCTGCAAGGAGGATGCCGCCACTCAGGTCGGAAGACTGGAGGGGCGGTGCCGAAGTGAGACGGAGTGACCCCCCACTCGGACATCGGATTTCGGTTTCGGTTCGTGTGCGGAGTGTGCGGGCGAGGCGCAGCGGCGCGAGAGGCCCTCCCCACGGCAAGAATGATCTCAATCAGTTTGGCTCCTCCCCTCCCCCCGTGACCGTCGCGTCCCCCCCAGTCGTTCCGCGGTTAGCCTATGGGTGTCCAGCGGTTGGAGATCATTTTTGATTTTTTGGCGATGACCCCGGTTATCCAGCGGGGGGATGGGGGGACAGCCGATAACCAACATGTTCGTTATCGGCAGCTCCACGTATGCCTGCGCGCACCAGTACTGAGTATCAGACCTGCGCAACCGACAACGTCAGGATATCCAGGCGGGGGGGAACGAGCGGGCCCGATGACCTGGGTCATCGCCAGACCCTAAAAAAAATGTTCCAAGGCCCGCCGCGTTCCTTTGATGTTGTCCCGCGGCTGTCCCCGCGGATGTCCCGAATGATGTTCGATGGCGTCTGGTGTCCCGATAATGCTCCGAGGGTGCCCCGACCCGATGGTGTCCAGATTGGTATCCATTGGTGCGCTGACGTTGTCGCAACGGTGTCCCGATTGATTGCCGATAAATGTCCCGACGGCGTTCCGATTGCCTTTTGACGGTACCTCGACACCTGATTGATGTGCGATGGTGTCCCGATTGTGTTTCGATTGGTTCTCGATCGCGACCCCAGGGTGCCCTGATTGATTTTCGATGGCGTCCCGATTGTGTTTCAAATGCTCTTCGACGGTGTCCCAGGGGTGTCCCGCTTGATTTTCGATGTCGTCCCGATGGTGTCTCGAATGCTCGATGGTATCCCGCGGTTGCCCCACGGTTGCACCGTGAGGCCCATGGGCAAGACTGCTAGTGCGATCCGCTACTGCGCCTCGAAGCACTGAGTGAGTGGTGTGTCCTGACCCCTCAAAGTCCTCAACATTGAATCATGCAAGCACTCTCTATGTGAATCCCCCACACCCCCCAACAGACGGAGTTCTCGGGCGCGTCTGGGCGCTCCTGGGCTGCGACGCGCGACGCTCCCCAACAAGCCAAAATCAGCAGCAACCCACACACACACACATAGAGAGAGAGAGAAGTTCATTGGTTTTCAGAGCACCCAAGAAGGCCCAGAGATCCGCGGCCCCCAGGAGGGGCCCCCAGCACGCCCACTGGGAGCCCTCCACCCTAGGATGGCTCCCGAGACGGCCAGTGGGCCCCAAGAGGCCCCCGGGAGGCCCCCGAGAGGTCCCGAAGAAGCGACGCCCACCCGCGGCGGCGGCGACGGCGGCGCGGTCCTGGAGGGCGGCCGCCCCGCTGGCGTGGCGCACGGCAGCCGTGGGCCCCGCGGGGCCCGCGGCGGACACCCCCGCGGGAGGCGGCGGCGGCGGCCCTGCGCCTCGCGGCAGGCACGGCGGCCAGGGAGGGGGCTGGCGCATCATGATTCCGGTCCTCCTCCTCCTCCTCCTCCTCCGCCCCTCCTCCTCCTCCTCCTCCTCCTCCCCTATTCATCCTCTTCCTCCTCCCCCTCCTCCTCCTCCTCCTCCTCCCCTCCTCCTCCGTGTCGTCTCACCTCCTCCTCCTCCCCCTCCTCCTCCTCCTCCTCCTCCTTCTTCTCCTCCTCTTCTTCTTGTTCCTCCGCCTCCCTCGCCTCTCCTCCTCCGTGTCCCTCCTCTCCTCCCCTTCCTTTTCCTTCCTCCATCCCCCTCCTCGTCCTCCCTCCTCTCCTCGTCCCTCGCCCGCCTCCTCCTCCTCCTCCTCCTCCTCCTACCTCCTCCTCCTCCGCCCCTCCCCCTTCCTCCTATTCATCCTCACCTCCTCCCCATCCTCCTCCGCCTCCTCCATCCTCCTCCTCCTCCTTCCTCCTCGTCCTCCTCCTCCTCCTCCTCCTCCTCCCCCTCCTCCTAGTCATCCTCAGCATCCCTCCCCACTCCACTCCGCCGCCTCCCCTCCTCCTCTCCCTACCGCCTCCTCTCCTCCTCTCTCGTCGTCCTCCTCCTCCTCCACCTCCTCCTCTGCTTCTTTTCTCCTCCTCCTCGTCCGCTTCCTCCACCGTTCCCTCCTGCTCCTCCACCTCCTTTTTCCGCCTCCTACCCCTCCGCGTCCTCCTCCGCGCTCGGTCCGCGTCCCGTCCCTCCTCCCCTCTCCTCCTCCCCTCCTCTCCTCCTCCTCCTCCCCCTCCTCCGATTCATCCTCATCCTCCTCCCTCCTCCTCCTCCTCCTCTCCTCCTCCTACTCCATCTCATCCCATCCTCTCCTCATCCTCCTCTCTTCGTTTCTTATATAACTAATTATTATTCCTACGTCCTCCTCCTCATCCCTCGTCTTTTCATATGATTAGTCACGTTTTATTGACCCCCTCCTCCTCCTACTCCCCATCCTCCTCCTCCTCCTCCTCCCCTCCTCCTCTCCTCCTCCTCTCCTCCTCCTCCCCTTCCTCGCTCCTCCTCCTCCTCCTCCTCCTCCTCCTCCTCCTCCTGCTCCTCCTTCCCCTCCCCCTCTTCGTCCGACTATTTAGTAATAGTATATTTAAATTGTGATTATTCGAGTTAGTAGCATTTGTTCTCGTTAGTCCTAGTACTCGTATTAGTTTGCTTCTTAGTATCGTTAATATTATGCTTATTGGTATTCCCAGTATTGTTCTTAGTATTGATAATAATTTCAATGATAATACTGATACGAATACGACTACGAATACTAATACGAATACGAATACTAGTACCAGTACTAATACGAATACTAATACGACTACTAATACTAATACGGATACTGGTACTAATACTAATACGAATACGGATACGAATACGAATACGAATACTAATACTAATACTAATACGAATACTAAAAATGATACTGATATTGCTACTAATACTAATACTAATATGAATAATAATACTAATACTACTACTATATTAATACTAATACTAGTACTAATACTAATACTAATACTAATACGAATACTAATACTAATACGAATTCTAATACTAATACTAATACTAACACTAACACTAATACTAATACTAACACTACTACTGATACTACTACTAATACGAATAATAATAATACTAATACGAATGCGGATACTAGTACTAATACTAATACGAATACTGATACTACTCCTAATACGAATAATAATACGAATACTAATACTAA